GACAAAAACTCTAATTACCAAAAAATGGGGCAAATTTCCCAGGGCCCACCCTAACCCAACCTTTTCCAGCATATAACCAAAAAAGTATCCAAAACGGTTGGGCCTCTCAAGAGCGCTTGATGAAAATCACACTCAACCGAGTTTTAAACTCTGACAAAATTCAATTTAAAACCCCAAAAAATAAGCCTCAGACTGGAGAATCACTAGACCTTTATTTCCTAACAATGATGATCTGATAAAAATGTCACCATATCAAAAACAAATACTCGATCACACATAATTTAGGTTAGAGAAGTAGCAGCATGAACTTAAGCTAAAAGAATCCTTTAGGATCAGGAATCCGGGAAAACTAAAAAAACCTAAATGAAATCGAAAGAAACCCAAAATGTTATTCTCCTTGCCAAATCAAAATCGGAACAACGTCCAGATTGGGCCCCCTACTTAAAAAAAAATGGTCCTCACAGATACAGCAAGGAAAGAGTGAGTACTCAAGTCCCAATATGACCGTTTTTAGCAAGCCACAAAACCCGATGAGAGTCGAAAATCAAAAAGAATTTTTTTAGAGAGCACAAAATTTGATTAAAAACAAGCCTTCCATTTATCCGGGCGCCAAATGATTCGAAAAGGCGATAAATGACATGCCCCTGCACTCTGCCCAGGGCCAGACTCATGGGAAATCGTGTTCATCAAGAACTGCAAGAAGCCCCTATCACGAGCCTTTTCCATCCTATGGAGAGGGAGCATGGACACGGGGTCGTCCCACAGTTACTAAAAACAAAGACATAGCCCCACTCCACAAAGGGGGCAGTAAAGCAACAGCAAAAAACTACAGACCAATAGCACTAACATCCCATATCATAAAAATCTTTGAAAGGGTCCTAAGAAGCAAGATCACCACCCATCTAGAAACCCATCAGTTACACAACCCAGGGCAACATGGGTTTAGAACAGGTCGCTCCTGTCTGTCTCAACTATTGGATCACTACGACAAGGTCCTAAATGCACTAGAAGACAAAAAGAATGCAGATGTAATATATACAGACTTTGCAAAAGCCTTCGACAAGTGTAATAGCGCACAAAATGCGTGCTAAAGGAATAACAGGAAAAGTCGGTCGATGGATCTATAATTTCCTCACTAACAGAACACAAAGAGTAGTCGTCAACAGAGTGAAGTCCGAGGCAGCTACGGTGAAAAGCTCTGTTCCACAAGGCACAGTACTCGCTCCCATCTTGTTCCTCATCCTCATATCCGACATAGACAAGGATGTCAGCCACAGCACCGTGTCTTCCTTTGCAGATGACACCCGAATCTGCATGACAGTGTCTTCCATTGCAGACACTGCAAGGCTCCAGGCGGACATCAACCAAATCTTTCAGTGGGCTGCAGAAAACAATATGAAGTTCAACGATGAGAAATTTCAATTACTGATATGGTAAACATGAGGAAATTAAATCTTCATCAGAGTACAAAACAAATTCTGGCCACAAAATAGAGCGAAACACCAACGTCAAAGACCTGGGAGTGATTATGTCGGAGGATCTCACCTTCAAGGACCATAACATTGTATCAGTCGCATCTGCTAGAAAAATGACAGGATGGATAATGAGAACCTTCAAAACTAGGGAGGCCTAGCCCATGATGACACTCTTCAGGTCACTTGTTCTATCTAGGCTGGAATATTCCTCACACTAACAGCACCTTTCAAGGCAGGTGAAATTGCCGACCTAGAAAATGTACAGAGAACTTTCACGGCGCGCATAACGGAGATAAAACACCTCAATTACTGGGAGCACTTGAGGTTCCTAAACCTGTATTCCCTGGAACGCAGGAGAGAGAGATACATGATTATATACACCTGGAAAATCCTAGAGGGACTAGTACCGAACTTGCACACGAAAATCACTCACTACGAAAGCAAAAGACTTGGCAGACGATGCACCATCCCCCAATGAAAAGCAGGGGTGTCACTAGCACGTTAAGAGACCATACAATAAGTGTCAGGGGCCCGAGACTGTTCAACTGCCTCCCAGCACACATAAGGGGGATTACCAACAGACCCCTGGCAGTCTTCAAGCTGGCACTGGACAAGCACCTAAAGTCAGTTCCTGATCAGCCGGGCTGTGGCTCGTACGTTGGTTTGCGTGCAGCCAGCAGCAACAGCCTGGTTGATCAGGCTCTGATCCACCAGGAGGCCTGGTCACAGACCGGGCCGTGGGGGCGTTGACCCCCGGAACTCTCTCCAGGTAAACTCCAGGTAAGATTCGATACTACGTGCCGCAAAATGCCCTTCTCACACTATACCACTCACTTATTTATCCATACCTCACCTATGCTATTTGTGCTTGGGGATCAACTGCAGCAACACACCTAAAGCCAATAATAACCCAACAAAAAGCCGCAGTAAGAATAATCACTAAATCCCATCCCTGGCAACACACCCTCCCACTCTTCATAGATCTAAACTTACTCCCTGTTCAGTACATCCACACTTACTACTGTGCAATCTACATCTACAGGGCCTTAAACTCTAATATCAACCTTGACCTAAAACGCTTTCTTGATAGTTGTGACAGAACCCACAGGCATAACACCAGAAACAAACATCTCTACGACATTCCCCGTGTCCGACTAAACCTTTACAAAAATTCAATTTATGTCAAAGGCCCTAAAATCTGGAACACCCTACCTGAGAACTCTAGAACTGCAGACACATTCATCACCTTCAAAACTACCATTAGAAAAGATCTTATCTCCCTGATACACCCCGTCAACTAACTACACGAATACCACCTGGTGGTTCACACTTACACTCACTCACCCATTTGACCATAAACAAAAATATTAATCTCAATCTTAAAATAATGAATCTTGTGATACTCCAATACTGAAACTATGTACTGTGCCAAAACAAAAGCATTCACATTGCTAAACTCACAAACTAGTATTTAGTCACTTAGCCATAATACCAACTTACCTCATAATTTGTAATATTTTACAATTAAGAATTAAACTAAGTCTGCCCGAAATGCCTAGCCATGCTAGATGTTCTAGTGGTACACTCTGTAATCATTATTTTACTACATGTAAACCACACAATAACCAAATTTCTGTAAACTCAGCATTGTAATCCTTATAGAGAATAAACTTTGAATTGAATTGAATTGAACACTACCAGCATCCGTGACGTTTGTTAGTGTTTCTGCAGTAGAAACACAGCCAGCAACACTCCCAGTGTTTGTGATATTAGTGTTTCTGTGAGTGTTGCTCCTGCAGACAAACACACAGCCAGTCATCAACACTCCCAGCATCCGTGGCGTTTGTGAGTGTTGCTGCAGTAGAAACTCAGCCAGCAACACTCCCAGTGTTTGTGATATTAGTGTTTCTGTGAGAGTTGCTCCTGCAAACACACAGCCAGTCATCAACACTACCAGCATCCGTGACGTTTGTTAGTGTTTCTGCAGTAGAAACACAGCCAGCAACACTCCCAGTGTTTGTGATATTAGTGTTTCTGTGAGAGTTGCTCCTGCAAACACACAGCCAGTCATCAACACTCCCAGCATCCGTGACGTTTGTTAGTGTTTCTGCAGTAGAAACACAGCCAGCAACACTCCCAGTGTTTGTGATATTAGTGTTTCTGTGAATGTTGCTCCTGCAGACAAACACACAGCCAGTCATCAACACTCCCAGCAGTTAGTTAGTTTAATATGTTTATTATGCACCCCATACCCATCCTGTGGGCGGTAGTCAAAAGATTACAGAGGTACATAATGGGTCCAGGGACTGGGCCTCAAAGTTTTGATAGCTGAGCCCCTATGCATACGGCCTCTCGGACAGCGAGGGCGCCTATGCATACGGCCTCTCGGACAGCGAGGGCGCCTATGCACACGGCCTCTCGGACACCGAGGGCGCCTATGCACACGGCCTCTCGGATACCGAGGGCGCCTATGCATGCGGCCTCTCGGACACCGAAGGCGGTCACGCATGCGACCTCGAGGGCGCCTGTGTTTACGATCCACAAATCAAGGCTGAAGATAAATTCAGTCTGTTGATGGCGTGCCTAAGGTCAGTTATCACAGACATCAACGCACCAGCCTACATGGCTGAGACTGCACTTATCACTCTCGCTTCAGAGATTGAATGGCAGTTAAGCTCCAGGGAATCATTCCCAGACTCGCTAAACTTTATATAATGAGGGTGAAAACCTGTTTAAAACCATAAGTTAATGGTGGGGCAAAATGCCATGTAAATACATGTATAATGGTGCGTGTAATACTTTCATGGTACGGCACAGTGCCGGGTAATATGTTCACTGGTACGGCACAGTGCCGGGTAATATGTTCACTGGTACGGCACAGTGCCGGGTAATATGTTCACTGGTACGGCACAGTGCCGGGTAATATGTTCACTGGTACGGCACAGTGCCGGGTAATATGTTCACTGGTACGGCACAGTGCCGGGTAATATGTTCACTGGTACGGCACAACACCGTGTATAAAACTTTCATGGTGTGGCAAAACGCCGTGTGAAAAATGTTTCATTATTTTTTCAATTTTCTTACTTTAATACACCATGAGAAAAAAATATTTTTCATTTTCCGTTTTCCTTATTTTTCCACGGCAGATGACTTCCCTTTTTCCTTATTTTTGTTGCATAATGTGTATTTATGTTCGTTTTTTACTCTAATCCTAATTTTTAAAGGGGTGGACTGGTAAGCCAGTGGAAAGTCTCGATCAAATGACCAAAAGCTCCAGTTGCGGGTCATCATATGACTAAGACCCGCGTCAGGAAACACTTGTCCTGTTTCCTGAGAATCCTTACCTAACCTGTCTGTTTCCACTGTTTTAAATTATTATTATTATTAATTATTATTATTATTATTATTATTATTATTATTATTATTATTATTATTATTATTATTAGTGTAAAAGTGAGTTGTGCCTTTAATTATTCGTGTTGGTTATAGACATTGTTTACCAACTTAATAGCGATTACCATGCAGATGTTGGCCAGGATGATAGTGGCTGTGGTGATGCTGGTACTGCAGGCTGTGCTTTGTCAGGGCTTTTTCTGGGGCTCCACAGATGCCCTACAGCTATGCCCTGACACCTGCACCTGCCCCACACAGCTGGTGCCTGCCAGCAGGAGCGGCATAGACTGCCATGATGCTAATATCACCCACTTGCCAGGTGAGTAGTTGACTTCATGTATCAAACACGTGTAGCGCCAGTGATATACCTCTAACTTGTACCGAGAGTTTTCCTGTTCTAGATGCCCGGCCAAGAGTCAGGCTTTGTTATTCTCTTCCACGAAATACACTGCAGATTATAGCGTTTTTTTGTACCTAACAGTGTTTCATTACATCTAAACTGTACTATTTTTGTAACGCATAAAAATAAATATTTGAATTTGACTGCCTGATCAACCAGACTCTTGATGTCTGCCCGCTAGCAACATGTCATAGACTTTTCTCTCAGACAACATTTCGCCCATACACAAGCTTAATAAAGACTTAATAAAATACTTTTTAGTGCGTTTTGTATATTAAATTATTATTGCAAGTATGAGGGAGTGTTAAATCCGTAAGGGTCATCCAGCGTCTAGAGAATGGGAGGTATTTTTAAATTCTTGTGGGAGAATGAGAGGTATTTTTTAAGTCTAATGGGAGAAAGGAGAGGATAGTTTGAGAATCAGGGCATAAATTCACTGTTCTCCCCCGCCCCTCACTCTAGCCACCTCAGTTATCCTGAGAGATGGTAATTCCCAGGTGATAGTAACTCCAGTTCTGTTGGAAGGAAACCTTTGAGGCTGTCGTAGCTGATGAACCGTTACTGAAATGCTTGGTGATAGTTTCACTGTCCTACTGGAGTCTCCCAGCTCAGGCTGACACTACTGGAGTCTCCCAGCTCAGGCTGACACTACTGGAGTTTCCCAGCTCAGGCTGACACTACTGGAGTCTCCCAGCTCAGGCTGACACTACTGGAGTCTCCCAGCTGAGGTCGAGAGATTTCAACACTATGAACCTCATTGTACTTGACGAAACACGAGAGGAAAGATTGCTAACTTTTGCTTCCACTTTGTAACTGTCCAGAATAAAAAGGCACAACACAGTGACTGGAACAAAACACAAATAAATAACCCGCAATTAGAAGAGATCCATAATATGTACGTGAAGGTGACTGGGCACTTGGGACGTCCCTCCCTCTCTCGTGAAGGTGACTGGGCACTTGGGACGTCCCTCCCTCTCTCGTGAAGGTGACTGGGCACTGGGGACGTCCCTCCCTCTCTCGTGAAGGTAGCTGGGCACTGGGGACGTCCCTCCCTCTCTCGTGAAGGTAGCTGGGCACTGGGGACGTCCCTCCTCTCGTGAAGGTAGCTTGGCACTTGGGACGTCCCTCCCTCTCTCGTGAAGGTAGCTGGGCACTGGGGACGTCCCTCCCTCTCTCGTGAAGGTGGCTGGGCACTGGGGACTTCCCTCCCTCTCTCGTGAAGGTGGCTGGGCACTGGGGACGTCCCTCCCTCTCTCGTGAAGGTAGCTGGGCACTGAGGACGTCCCTCCCTCTCTCGTGAAGGTAGCTGGGCACTGGGGACTTCCCTCCCTCTCTCGTGAAGGTGGCTGGGCACTTGGGACGTCCCTCCCTCTCTCGTGAAGGTGGCTGGGCACTGGGGACGTCCCTCCCTCTCTCGTGAAGGTGGCTGGGCACTGGGGACGTCCCTCCCTCTCTCGTGAAGGTGGCTGGGCACTGGGGACTTCCCTCCCTCTCTCGTGAAGGTGGCTGGGCACTTGGGACGTCCCTCCCTCTCTCGTGAAGGTGGCTGGGCACTGGGGACTTCCCTCCCTCTCTCGTGAAGGTGGCTGGGCACTGGGGACGTCCCTCCCTCTCTCGTGAAGGTAGCTGGGCACTGGGGACTTCCCTCCCTCTCTCGTGAAGGTGGCTGGGCACTTGGGACGTCCCTCCCTCTCTCGTGAAGGTAGCTGGGCACTGGGGACGTCCCTCCCTCTCTCGTGAAGGTGGCTGGGCACTGGGGACTTCCCTCCCTCTCTCGTGAAGGTAGCTGGGCACTGGGGACGTCCCTCCCTCTCTCATATATACTCTAGCTTTCTTCCCTTCGCGCTTATGTGTCACTAGTTTCTGGTCCAACTCGGACCGAAACGTGGTCATAATTTTCAGTCTTCCAAGTGCGGGCTGTGTAGTGTAACTGTTACATAGACTAGGTAGCAACACACTACTGATGTATTGTCAATTGTGCAATACTTACTGGTATATATTACACGGGTATTGCACCAATTTTGCTAATACAATATAAAGTATATCTTTTCTGCAGTATACCAAATGCAGTTTATATGTAACACAATATTGCTAGGCGCAAAATAAAGCCCCTAGCACAGGGTGCATTGTGGTGTAAGTTAGCTGGGCCTCCTTCGTCAGATGAATTGGAAATACCTGCCCAGTACACCAGCGTCGACTTCTCCAGGAACAGCATCGGGGAGCTGAGCATGAGTACCTTCAGTGGCTGCTGCAGCGGGTTGCTGAGGCTGGACCTGTCAGACAACGAGGTGCAGCAGCTGCCAGCACTGGTACTACAACACCTCCCCTCACTCTCAACGCTCCTCCTCAAGAACAACAAACTTACCATTATCGACTCAGCTGTGAGTTTTCAAGATAGATTTATAATTAATATAATTATTATTATTATTATTATTGTTATTATTATAGTATAATAATACTTCCGCATATTATTGTATTGCAAAGGCACTTCCTGTGATTGTATTTGCTTGGATCTCCTCCTGTTGTCTGCAACATTGCTAGCTCCTGATGTGATTGCAACATGAAAAGCCTAGAGCTATCATTCAACTGCCCCCCTTAGGTGTTTTGTATCTTAAATAATTTGTTCGAGATTTTTTGCACATATATATATATATATATATATATATATTATATATATATATATATATATATATATATATATATATATATATATATATATATATATATATATTATATATATGTCGTGCCGAATAGGCAGAACTTGCTATCTTGGCTTAAATAGCAACGCTCATCTTGCCATATAAGACAAGTGAAAATTTGTGTATGCAATAATTTCGCCAAAATCATTCTGAATCTAACGAAAAAAAAATATATTTCACTGTGTTTGTTTAGTATTAAATTATTGTAAACAAATCTAAAATATATTTAGTTGGGTTAGGCTAAAATAAATTGTTCTTGTTATAATAAGGTTAGGTAAGTTTTCTAAGATTCTTTTGGAGCAAAATTAAATTTTATTACACCAACATTAATGAAAAAAATCTAGCTTTAAACGTATAAGAGACATTTTTAGAAAAGATTTAATTATAAAGGAGTTCTTGCTAATTGACCAGTTTTACATATTCGGCACAACATATATATATATGTTTAGGTAGTAGGTTGGTAGACAGCAACAACCCAGGGAAGTACTACCGTCCTGCCAGATGACTGTGAAACAGAAACCTGTAACTGTTTGGCATGATGGTAGGATTGCTGGTTTCTTTTTCTGTCTCATAAACACGCTAGATAACAGGGATATCTTGCTACTCCTACTTACACTTTGGTCACACTTCACAGATACGCACATGCATATATATATATATACATACATCTAGGTTTTTCTCCTTTTTCTAAATAGCTCTTGTTCTTCTTTATTTCTTCTATTGTCCATGGGGAAGTGGAAAAGAATCTTTCCTCCGTAAGCCATGCGTGTCGTATGAGGCGACTAAAATGCCAGGAGCAATGGGCTAGTAACCCCTTCTCCTGTAGACATTTACTAAAAAAGAGAAGAAGAAAAACTTGATAAAACTGGGGTGCTTAAATGTGCGTGGATGTAGTGCGGATGACAAGAAACAGATGATTGCTGATGTTATGAATGAAAAGAAGTTGGATGTCCTGGCCCTAAGCGAAACAAAGCTGGAGGGGGTAGGGGAGTTTCGGTGGGGGAAAATAAATGGGATTAAATCTGGAGTATCTGAGAGAGTTAGAGCAAAGGAAGGGGTAGCAGTAATGTTGAATGATCAGTTATGGAAGGAGAAAAGAGAATATGAATGTGTAAATTCAAGAATTATGTGGATTAAAGTAAAGGTTGGATGCGAGAAGTGGGTCATAATAAGCGTGTATGCACCTGGAGAAGAGAGGAATGCAGAGGAGAGAGAGAGATTTTGGGAGATGTTAAGTGAATGTATAGGAGCCTTTGAACCAAGTGAGAGAGTAATTGTGGTAGGGGACCTGAATGCTAAAGTAGGAGAAACTTTTAGAGAGGGTGTGGTAGGTAAGTTTGGGGTGCCAGGTGTAAATGATAATGGGAGCCCTTTGATTGAACTTTGTATAGAAAGGGGTTTGGCTATAGGTAATACATATTTTAAGAAAAAGAGGATAAATAAGTATACAAGATATGATGTAGGGCGAAATGACAGTAGTTTGTTGGATTATGTATTGGTAGATAAAAGACTGTTGAGTAGACTTCAGGATGTACATGTTTATAGAGGGGCCACAGATATATCAGATCACTTTCTAGTTGTAGCTACACTGAGAGTAAAAGGTAGATGGGATACAAGGAGAATAGAAGCATCAGGGAAGAGAGAGGTGAAGGTTTATAAACTAAACGAGGAGGCAGTTAGGGTAAGATATAAACAGCTATTGGAGGATAGATGGGCTAATGAGAGCATAGGCAATGGGGTCGAAGAGGTATGGGGTAGGTTTAAAAATGTAGTGTTAGAGTGTTCAGCAGAAGTTTGTGGTTACAGGAAAGTGGGTGCGGGAGGAAAGAGGAGCGATTGGTGGAATGATGATGTGAAGAGAGTAGTAAGAGAGAAAAAGTTAGCATATGAGAAGTTTTTACAAAGTAGAAGTGATGCAAGGAAGAAAAGAGAAAAAGAGAGAGGTTAAGAGAGTGGTGAAGCAATGTAAAAAGAGAGCAAATGAGAGAGTGGGTGAGATGTTATCAACAAATTTTTGTTGAAAATAAGAAAAAGTTTTGGAGTGAGATTAACAAGTTAAGAAAGCCTAGAGAACAAATGGATTTGTCAGTTAAAAATAGGAGAGGAGAGTTATTAAATGGAGAGTTAGAGGTATTGGGAAGATGGAGGGAATATTTTGAGGAATTATTAAATGTTGATGAAGATAGGGAAGCTGTGATTTCATGTATAGGGCAAGGAGGAACAACATCTTGTAGGAGTGAGGAAGAGCCAGTTGTGAGTGTGGGGGAAGTTCGTGAGGCAGTAGGTAAAATGAAAGGGGGTAAGGCAGCCGGAATTGATGGGATAAAGATAGAAATGTTAAAAGCAGGTGGGGATATAGTTTTGGAGTGGTTGGTGCAATTATTTAATAAATGTATGGAAGAGGGTAAGGTACCTAGGGATTGGCAGAGAGCATGCATAGTTCCTTTGTATAAAGGCAAAGGGGATAAAAGAGAGTGCAAAAATTATAGGGGGATAAGTCTGTTGAGTATACCTGGCAAAGTGTATGGTAGAGTTATTATTGAAAAAATTAAGAGTAAGACGGAGAATAGGATAGCAGATGAACAAGGAGGCTTTAGGAAAGGTAGGGAGTATGTGGACCAGGTGTTTACAGTGAAACATATAAGTGAACAGTATTTAGATAAGGCTAAAGAGGTCTTTGTGGCATTTATGGATTTGGAAAAGGCGTATGACAGGGTGGATAGGGGGGCAATGTGGCAGATGTTGCAGGTGTATGGTGTAGGAGGTAGGTTACTGAAAGCAGTGAAGAGTTTTTACGAGGACAGTAAGGCTCAAGTTAGAGTATGTAGGAAAGAGGGAAATTATTTCCCAGTAAAAGTAGGCCTTAGACAAGGATGTGTGATGTCACCGTGGTTGTTTAATATATTTATAGATGGAGTTGTAAGAGAAGTAAATGCGAGGGTCTTGGCAAGAGGCGTGGAGTTAAAAGATAAAGAATCACACATAAAGTGGGAGTTGTCACAGTTGCTCTTTGCTGATGACACTGTGCTCTTGGGAGATTCTGAAGAGAAGTTGCAGAGATTGGTGGATGAATTTGGTAGGGTGTGCAAAAGAAGAAAATTAAAAGTGAATACAGGAAAGAGTAAGGTTATGAGGATAACAAAAAGATTAGGTGATGAAAGATTGGATATCAGATTGGAGGGAGAGAGTATGGAGGAGGTGAATGTATTCAGATATTTGGGAGTGGACGTGTCAGCGGATGGGTCTATGAAAGATGAGGTGAATCATAGAATTGATGAGGGGAAAAGGGTGAGTGGTGCACTTAGGAGTCTGTGGAGACAAAGAACTTTGTCCTTGGAGGCAAAGAGGGGAATGTATGAGAGTATAGTTTTACCAACGCTCTTATATGGGTGTGAAGCATGGGTGATGAATGTTGCAGCGAGGAGAAGCCTGGAGGCAGTGGAGATGTCATGTCTGAGAGCAATGTGTGGTGTGAATATAATGCAGAGAATTCGTAGTTTGGAAGTTAGGAGGAGGTGCGGGATTACCAAAACTGTTGTCCAGAGGGCTGAGGAAGGGTTGTTGAGGTGGTTCGGACATGTGGAGAGAATGGAGCGAAACAGAATAACTTCAAGAGTGTATCAGTCTGTAGTGGAAGGAAGGCGGGGTAGGGGTCGGCCTAGGAAAGGTTGGAGGGAGGGGGTAAAGGAGGTTTTGTGTGCGAGGGGCTTGGACTTCCAGCAGGCATGCGTGAGCGTGTTTGATAGGAGTGAATGGAGACAAATAGTTTTTAATACTTGACGTGCTGTTGGAGTGTGAGCAAAGTAACATTTATGAAGGGGTTCAGGGAAACCGGCAGGCTGGACTTGAGTCCTGGAGATGGGAAGTACAGTGCCTGCACTCTGAAGGAGGGGTGTTAATGTTGCAGTTTAAAAACTGTAGTGTAAAGCACCCTTCTGGCAAGACAGTGATGGAGTGAATGATGGTGAAAGTTTTTCTTTTTCGGGCCACCCTGCCTTGGTGGGAATCGGCCAGTGTGATAATAAATATATATATATATATATTATATATATATATATATATATATATATATATATATATATATATATATATATATATATATATATATATATATATATATATATAATAATAATAATAATAATAATAATAATAATAATAATAATAATGTGGCGCCGTAACAGGCTTTCGTGGGTCTGCACAACTTGACGAGGCTGGACCTGAGTTACAACAAGCTGGAGGTTCTACCCGAGGACGTGTTAGAACCTCTGGTGTGTCTGCAGGAGCTGCTGCTGGGGTTCAACCCGCTGGTAACCCTCAATCCATCTCTGTTTACCCACAACACTGCTCTCACCAAGCTCGACCTGGCTGCCTTGAGACTCAACACTCTTCCCAACAACTTGTTCCTCAATATGATGTACGCAACTTCAGGTTTATTCTCCATGACGTCAATATTCTTAGTTTCTCTTAACTCCCATAAACATCCATGTCGGTATTTCACATACAGTTTGCAGGAAATTTTTCTGGCAGATTAGGTTAGGTTGTCCTCTGCCCATGAAAAATAACCAGTTGTAACATACCACAGCGAAAAAAAATATAAATATATGATAAAGGCGAACAGAAAACAGCCATCCACTGAGTGCCGTAGGCATAACTACGAATATGTCTGATTTTCACTGTTTAAAGTGCCTTAATCAGTCTCGTGCTTGACTCTTATAAACATAACGAAAGTTATAATCAGATGACCAAACGCTCCAGCTGCGGGTCATCCTATGACTAAGACCCGTGTCAGGAAACACTTGTCCCTACCTAACCTAACCTGTTTGTCTTTACAACAGTGAAATGATGACTGTGATTTAGAGAGCGTGTTGCGCTGGTAGTCCAGCGCTAGATCGTTTGGTTGATCGCCGGGTTGGGCAAGTCGCTCTACACCTACTGTCCTTAATTAAGTCAGTAACTAGGTCTCTGTTAGTCAACAGCTGTGAGTCGCATTCTGAGCAGGGAGAAGCATGTGGGCTAGTAGTAGTAGTGTATATAGCGAATGGACAATGAGAGGTAGTCAAATTTGATCCGAGCAAGGGAAGGATATTGTAATAATTTTGTAGAATTACCGACAATGTGTTACGTAAAAAGGCACCTAAGCAACTAAGATACATTTTAATGTGGCAACGTTTCTCTCTATAGAAAGTCTGTCAAGCCGTTACAAACAAGACAGGGACCTCACTCTAATACCTACATATACGCTCAGTGTCCCTGTATTGTTGGTAACGGCTTTCTATAGAGCGAAACGTTGCCACAATAAAATGTCACATTAGTTGCACGTGTCCCTTTACCTAACAAGGGAAGGATATGTAGATGAATGGTTCAGAGAACCGACAAGTTGATAAATTAGACAAATGTGCAACACTCGGGTACCTTTATTGACGAAACGTTTCGCCACACAGTGGCTTCATCAGTCCATACAAAGGAGAGCGTTGAAGAACAGGAGGAGTTTGAGGTAATCAGTCCCTCAGCCTTGAGTCGATGTGGTCAGTCTATCAATCTTGAAAAGAAGAATCAAGGAAAGGATAGCTTCTCTGCCTTCATATAACATCTAGCTGCTCCTCCTTCGAAGATGACACAACAGTAGTCAGGGTATAATGACGTGTCACGCTGGACGTGACCCATAGTAGTAATTATGGTGTAACGATTATCGTGTCACGTGTATCGTTACACTCCAGGTGTGTAGTCCTTCCAGGAGACTGGAGGTAATACTCAGCAGTAATCAGTGTACTGATACACACGTGTCACGCAGGATCCTGGAGGACAGGACACATAGCAGAAAAGCGTGTATTGATATGTGTCCAAAGGGAGCTTGTGGGTGATACACAGCTGTAGTTATGGTGTACTGATACTCATGTGTCCCGCAGGAACCTGGAGGAGGTGTCGCTGGCACAAAACAACATGACGGTGGTACCCACCAAAGCTCTCTACCCCGTCAGATACACACTCACCCGTCTGGACCTCTCAGGCAACCCATTCCAGGTAGCTACCAACATGTAAACAACTTCAATTAGTAATATTATTATTATTAGTGTTTCTATTATTACCAATCATATTTTATTAGTGTTGCTATTATTATTATTATTATTATTTTGGGAAAGGGTTAAAACCATAAGTTTAACAAAGTTAATTAGATTTAATCTGAAGGGGAAGACAGAACCAATTCTTCGAATCCAGAGTCTTTGACCAGCATCCAGACGGAAGGTTGGGTCCCAGTGCCGCCTGCCCCTCTCACAAGTGTGTGTGATGGGAGTATTTACATCCCATATGAGGGTATCCATACTCTAATCAGTGACACACAGATGCACTGGGGCTTCAGACTTTCGTGTACATATGTGACCTGACTAAATCTTCACTACACACCCACGCTCAGCGTGTTGGGTCTTTTGCGATTTCATGTATAACGTCATAATTTAGGTGAAATCTCAGCCTTATAAGTATTCTGTTTTATTATTTTTACTGTTCCTTGATAATACGAGAAATCATGAGAGCACTTTCAATTTCACTGTTTTTACACTATGGTTATTTTGCATATCGTGATATCACCTGTTTATTGTGATCTTACTGCATGTTTATATACGTGAAATATATTATTATTTACCCTCCTACGTGCTGCAAATATACCTCTCCTTCATTATATATAGTATATATATATATATATATATATATATATATATATATATATATATATATATATATATATATATATATATATATATATATATATATATATTATGATCACGTTTTTCATCTAATAATACTTATCATTTTATCTAACACCAGTTCATAATGCTATCACGAGTGCTTGAAGACATACAATTCCCACAATGTTGTAGCTTCCCTGGTGTCTAGCTCCTGGACCTAAACCTTCATATAGTATAACAAGTCACAGTATAACTTGTTACTGGCTCACGTTAGACCCAAACATCGTCATTATGCTCCTCTCCTAAGTGCGGGTTATTTGTGTATTGTATATGAAAATAGTACACAATACCTACACAGTAGGCTTCTTTAGTCGAGTACAGAAGAGTAAGCAGAAAGTAGTAGAGATGTGAAGACGATGTAATCAGTCCCTCAGCCTGGAGAAGAATTTTGCTTCATAGTCCGAAACAACGTTCCAGTTTTGCTGCATAGTCAAACTCTTCTCCAGGCTGAGGGACTGACCACCTCAAAACTACGCCTTCAAGGCTGATGGACTGATTACATCATCTTTACATCTCTACTGCTTCTGGCAACCCATCTGTACTTGATAAATTAGACACATGCGCAAATCTTGGGTATCTTTATTGAGGAAACGTTTCGCCAAACAGTGGCTTCATCAGCCCATACAAAGGAGAATCTTGAAGAACAAGAGGAGAATGAGGTAATCAGTCCCTCAACCTTGAGTCGATGTGGTCAGTCCATCAATCTCGAATAGAATACGGCATACGTGCTGAGAAGCAGCTTATAAACCGTTGGCAGGAGAGGTGCAGCAGTCATAGGTGGTGTCACATTTGTTCAATGTGGAAGTAGGTCGTGCCCAAGAATTAGGCAAGCGAAGAATTCCTAAGTATTAAGATCCCAAGAAGTTGCAGTGTCTGACAGGTTTGTAGATGAATCGTTCACAGAACCACTTATAAGCTCCTTCTCTGCACATATGCCGTATTCTATTCAAGATTGATGGACTAGCCACATCGACTCAAGGTTGAGGGACTGATTACCTCATTCTCCTCCTGTTCTTCAAGATTCTCCTTTGTATGGGCTGATGAAGCCACTGTGTGGCGAAACGTTTCCTCAATAAAGATACCCAAGATTTGCACATGTGTCTAATTTATCAACGTGTCGGTTCTGTGAACCATTCATCTTCATCTGTACTTAACTGCAGAAGCCTGCTGTGTAGGCGAAAAGTTTCGAAATAAAGATACCTAACTGTTGCACTTGTTTGTGTATTGTTCCAGCCACGGTACTGTAAATTTTTATTCTTCCTGGTGTCTAACTCCTGGCCCGAAGGCAACCTTCACCTGGCTCCGTCAAAGTGGATGATTGATACACCTATGCAGCACTTGTTGTGGAAACGTTTCGCTTCTTCAGTCCAATACAGAGAGGAGCAGTTGAAGATGAGTTCGAGGTAATCAGTCCCTCAGGCTGTAGATGTGTTCAGTCCATCAGTCTTGATAAAAGTGCCTAAGTGTGGGTGAAAATTTGTAAATATAGGGTCGCATTATCAACAACGTTTCACCCACAATTAGCTACTTTTATCAAGACTGATGGACTGAACACATTATCTCCAGGCTGAGGGACTGATTACCTCAAACTTCTCATCTTCAACCGTTCTTCTCTGTATTGGACTAAAGAAGCCACTGGCTGGCGTAAACCTTCCACAATAAAGATACGTAAATGTTGCACAAGGGTCTCAGTCATCAACTTGTCGATTTTTTAAACCGACAGGTTGATGATTGTACTGAGTATTGTATTTATACAATATTGTATTGTATTTATACAATACTGCACTGTATTTATACAATATTGTATTGTATTTATACAATATTGTATTGTATTTATACAATATTGTATTGTAGTTATACAATGCTCTCAATTTTTTTTATATTATCAAGCATATCCGACTTACATGTTGACATGCTGTCAGGAAGCCGGACCTCTACCTCAGAATATTAACATGACACGTCAGGCAGTTGGATTCACTCTAACCTTGGGTTGATCCCCAGAGAGAAGGTCACTTTTAGTGATAGTTATTCCAGTATTTCTAAGGAAGTACCTTGATGTTTGGGTCAGATCTGCTTACCTCCCTTATCCAAGAAGTGTATGACACCTACTTACCTGGAGGGTGTTCCGGGGGTACCTGTTTAGCGTTTCCTATTATAACTATTATTCTACTACTACCACCACCACTAATAATAATAATAATAATAAAACTATTATTATTATTACAGCTGAATAAAATACCAGTGTTTCCACTCCTCAATTTTTTTTCTGATACTAGTATACTAAACATTAGGGAAATTAGGAGCATTGACATATTAATATACTTAGAGAAGCTGAATTAGGAACCCCATATGGAGGTGTCCTTATTCCTACCTTATTCGATATTATAATTAATGTCTTACTACATGCTTCGCCTAGCCAGCCCGATCATTGTATGATCAGCTTTGTTGATGACATATTGCTTCACACCACCGGATCCTCCAACGCCCAAAACATCCTCAACCAGTTGCATGATGGGTCCAGTTGCATGATGGGTCCAGTTGCATGATGGGTCCAGTTGCATGATGGGTCCAGTTGCATGATGGGTCCAGTTGCATAATGGGTCCAGTTGCATGATGGGTCCAGTTGCATTATGGGTCTCGGCTAGAATATGTAACTAGATACAAGTATCTAGGTTTTAATGTGCAACTCCTTGGACTTGTAACAAGACTATCACTGGTTAATTATGCCGCGCCAGTACTTGCTCTTTTGTCAGACTGGAAGCTTGGAGAGCTGTAAAAATTACAGAATGAAGCAATGAGGATCAACCCAGAATTTTATTATTACGAGGGCATCATAGGATGCCCTCGTAGTGCTAAAATTCTAAACATGTGGAAAGAACTTGATATTCCAAGCATCAGAGATCGTGTCACTGAAAGATATGTCCTCATCTGGGTCAATATGCGGAGGCTAGCCCATTTAAACCCTTGCTCAGAAGCCCTCCAAACTTTCCTCAGCACTGGTGAACACCCCTCCAGATAAATCGTAAAAACTGGGACTGACCTCCGCATGACCAAATACATGATCTCTGTGGAATAAGGCAACAGCAACCCTTACCCGCTCCATGGGAAATTACCCTATTACAAACCATTATCCATCCTCTTTCCCAAAGAAATTTCTTAAGTTTAGCTTCACCTTGAAGCCAAGCAGGATGCTTTAAGTTGTAGTAATGACTTAGTTACAAAGCACACTCTTTCACAAATTATGTTTTGTTCACCACTCCACGGGTGCAGCTGGTAGTACTGTTGTCACAGAGTTACGGTTCTCATATAGAAATTAGAGCAGGCATCATTAACTGTGTCTCTACCCATCAGACAACTGTTTGTCATACTCCTTCACTCGCATGACTCCATGTATCACAGGTTGACACTAATTGTAACTGATTCTTTATCCTTAAAAATGTAACTCATTTAGTTACTAGAACTTTGGGACCCGGTCCCTAGGCCCATTATATGCCTCTGTAATCTTTTGACTACCCCCCACACCATGGATATGTCATGTATAATAATGATATTAATCTATCTTAGTTATAAACTTTATACAGGTTTCTTAATATGGTATGCTATATTTTTCCCCTATTGTATGCCGGCAGTAGCCGGAGGTAGTAGACGGTTGGGAGAGGGCCTTCCGCTTTACTATCTTGCATTAAATTTCAAAATAATAGTGGTTATCAGCCACGTCCTGGGCCCTAAAATTCTCTACTGGCTGTTTTTCCCACGTACTCATGTGAACCAGACGACATAAGTCACTTGACTTTTCTGGGTTATCCTAGGTAATTTACACTATGATTATGATAGCTGTGCTGGTGTGTAAGTGTGCCTAAATAAACTTATTTGGTGTGTTTCATGTTGGGGATGATGGCGGAGGGTGGAACCTCCACCACTCCTAGTGTTAAGTGATCATTCAGCCTCACACTGTGTTTAATACACACACTCGGCACTGTTACTACACTTACCACCTACAGTTACTACACTCACCACTACACTCACCACCTACAGTTACTACACTCACCACTACACACCACAGACAGTTACCACACTCACCACTACACTCACCACAGACAGTTACTACACTCACCACTACAATAACCACAGACAGTTACTACACTCACCACTACATTCACCACAGACAGTTACCACACTCACCACCTACACACCACCCCTACAGTTACCACACTCACCACTACACTCACCACAACAGTTACTACACTCACCACTACACTCACCACAGACAGTTACACACTCACCACCTACATTCACACTCACCACTACACTCACACAGACGTTACCCCCCACACCGACAGTTACTACACTCACCACTACACTCACTACAGACAGTTACCACACTCACCACCTACAGTTACTACACTCACCACTACACTCACTAGAGACGGTTACTACACTCACCACTACACTCACTAGAGACGGTTACTACACTCACCACTACACTCACTAGAGACGGTTACTACACTCACCACTATATGGTTCTTACAGTCGCTGGGAGCATACAGTTTCTACAAGCAACACAACCTAAGGACCATCATCCTAGAAAGACTACTCCACCTGGAGACCATTGAAGCCTACGCCTTTGGAGACCTACACAGCCTGGAGACCGTGGTCTTCCGCTACATGCCTAGGATCAAGTACATCGACCCTAAAGTTAGTATTACGGGAAGTAGTTATATTTTTGTAACGTGAATATATTGCCTAGGATCTAGTTCTGTCGACTCCAGAGTTAGTATTTATGAATTTATTATTTATATAAAATATAATGGAATGTATTGCTTTTGGATCTAGTTTTATCGACCTTAAATTTAGCTCACACACTAATGTCGGGGGTCGATCCCCGGCACGGGTGGAAACATTAGAATGTGTTTCCTTAAGACACCTGCTGTCCAGGCTTATCATACTTACATATGATAAGCCTGAAATGCTGGCTCATCATACATGATTTTTCCACGTATGATAAACCTGTACATAACGTAACCCTGTATGCCAAGGAAACTAAACCTGGCTTCCTTATATGCTGCCTCAGCCATTAATGATTAAGTTCAGATGTGACATACTCAAAACATTTTATGGGTAAAAATACCACACCATTTGAAAAAGTGGAAAAATTTGACATCTACACACTTCAGTCTCAATAAAAATCCTAACTTGCTTGTAAATAGAGTACAACAGTGGAATTTTGAAGTAGGTCAGAAGAGGCTGTGCCCGAAATGTTTAATATATTGTATATTATTTTTTGAGCGGGTGTTATCATGCTCTTGTCATTGCTAGGTGATGGTTTAGCATTTAATACGATATGGTTAGGTTAGGTAAGGTTCGTCAGGAAACAGGACAAATGTTTCCTGACGCGGGTCTTAGTCAGATGATGACCCGCCTTTGGAGCTTTTGGTCATCTGACCGAGGCCTTCCGCTGGCTTACCGGTCCACCCCTTTAAAAATTATGGTCATTGTAATTCAAAAATAAAGTTTGAACATTTATGTATGATATGATTGTAACACTTAGGGTATGATGGTGGTTGACGGTAGATCATTGTATTCGCAAATGGCTAATTATTGTATTATTTTATTTTTTTTTATATCTTGTATTGGTATTTTTTGGTTTAAATTACTACTGTATCGGTGGTTTACAATCTTTTTCGTTCTGTAGGCCAGGCACTCAATACAAGATCTGTTTACGATGTGGACATCTGTAATGTAAATTGACTACAGGGAAAGAACACGTCCAATGTTTCTACTCTGGCTGGGATCGAACCCAGGCCCTCACCGTGTGAAGCGAGAGCGTTTACAATTTTTTCTTTCTGTAAGGCTAGGCACTCATTACAATGATTGCTGTTTATGATGTGGACGGATCTTGTTTAATGTAATTTTGACTACAGGAAATTCTTTATAACCAATGTTAGAAATCAAAAACTGTTCCATATTTATATAATGTACTTATTGCACTTGCAGTTTGTTTTGTAAGTCGTGAGGCAGTTATAATGGACCTTTACCATTTTAAGTTTTGGGAACAGATGTATCATTGTAGTTTATGCTTCATATTCTTACGTGTTGTAAGATTCATACTTTTGGATAGCATTATAGATGTGTTAGGGTTAACTTAATTTATTGTGCACTCTTGGGTTCTATTTTATGTTGTACTTTTCAGATGGGAGTTCTGTCTGGGGAAGGGGGGTTCTGTCTGGGGAAGGGGGGGTTCTGTCGTAAGGGGGTTTTCTATTAGGGGGTTCTGTCTGAAGGGGGGTTCTGTCTGGGGAAGGGGGGGTTCTGTCTGGGGAAGGGGGGGTTCTGTCTGGGAAGGGGGGTTCTGTCTAGGGAAGGGGGGGTTCTGTCTGGGGAAGGGGGGTTCTGTCTGGGGAAGGGGGGTTCTGTCTGGGAAGGGGGGGTTCTGTCTGGGGAAGGGGGGGTTCTGTCTGGGGAAGGGGGGTTCGGGGTTCTGTCTGGGGAAGGGGGGTTCTGTCTGGGGAAGGGGGGGTTCTGTCTGGGGAAGGGGGGTTCTGTCTGGGGAAGGGGGGGTTCTGTCTGGGGAAGGGGGGTTCTGTCTGGGGAAGGGGGGGTTCTAAGTTCTGCGGAAGGGTTACGGTCTGGGAAGGGGTTCTGTACTCTTTGGGAAGAGGGGTTCTGTTGGGAAAGGGCGGGGTTTAGTTGCAAGTACGTATGTAACTATCTGTACTCTTTTGAGTAGTACTTAGACGTTAAGTCATAGTACAGAATATCTGGTTTTACTGTTGATGTAGTTAGTATGGAAGTTTGTATCAATTCTCTCCTTAATTTGGTTACTGTTTGTGTTTTCATTAGCTAATGTTTGTTACATGATGTATAATTATTTATATTTGTATGTGGTATTATATGGCCATGGAAAGTTTATTACATCTGTTGACAGATAAGGCCTGTTTTTTTTTTATGTGCTGTGATGTACTTTTTAAATAAAATATTGTATAGGCTTTCCAATATTGTGTATTTTTGAACAATGATTTGAAACAAAAATTAATAATAATAATTATTATTACTAATATTACTATTTTTATTACTACTAATAATAATAATAATCGTGACACTGAGCGGTCAATAGGCTTTCCACGAGATGGCGGTTGACACCGAGACTAAAGGTGGTGTGGACAGGGCGCTCACTGTGGAAGACTTCACCTTCTCATTCTCCGTCCTGGCGACGCTGCCGGAGGAGCTGCTTCCCTGGCAGCACCTCCGTCAGGCCCGCCTAGAGTACAACCACTGGAACTGTGACTGCCAAATGAAGTGGGTGAAGACCTCCCCTCTAATGGACCTTGTGGACAACCGTATGGTGTAAGTGATAACCGATTTTTAACTACTGTTATTATTATGTATCATTGGGAAAGCGCTGAATCCATAGGAGTCATACGGCGCTTGGAAAATGAGATGTAATTAGCTTTGATACGGGGAAGGGGAGGGTTGCTCTATTCTCTTAGATCAAGAAATATTCGCCGGCATCAAGTCACCCCCTCTTCAGGGGTTATTTTGAAAGATTTTATGCTGAATTACTTAGAAAAAATGCACAAAATATGAAACAGTTTCTGGAGAATATGTCATAATATCGTGGCTGGAAGAATTCATAACTGACCTATAAATTAGAAATTGAAAGGCGACGACGTTTCGGTCCGTGGGGCCGTACTTGCGTCCTTAGCAGATGGTGAAATACAATCCAGTGGAACTTCATTTCTTTTCTGAATTATACAAAATGTAGTTTATATGTAATAAAATATTTTTAAGCACAAAAGAAAGCCAGTAGTATGCTGTGCATTTCGGGAAGAATTTTTGGTTTAAACAATTCATATTGCTGTTATTAAAACGAAATTGTTGGTGTGTGCAGGTGTTCCAAGCCCAAGAGACTGCGAGGCCACCGTCTGAAATATATCAAGGAGGAAGACTTGAACTGCGACCCAGAACCCATATCACAGGCCAGGTAAGTATAACATCCTCTTCCCCTCCATTTTTATTCAGTTATATATAGTGGTTTAAAAAGACACGTGAACAAACACTAGGATATATTATTAGAAAATGTTTCGGTCCTGGGACCTTGATCACTTCACTTAGATGTGATCAAGATCCCAGGACCGAAAAGTTTTCTAATAAATATGTCCTAGTGTTTGCTTATGCGTTTTTTTGAGCCTACCTGTCAATAGCTATTACCAAGGTTTATACCATCATGTATAGCCATCAAATAGTTGGTTAGCTTTTCCTAATGTTCTCTTTGACACTGTGCCCACAGGTACCATTGTATAAGCTCTAGTGTGACTACTGACCCTTATGCTGAGCACTATTGTGATAAAAAGGCCTCTGTTTCTAGCACTGTTGTATCCATATGCCCGCTTTTAAACACTACTGCGACTACATTCCTTATGTGTAGAACTTTGTTGTTTATACAGCACTTTCGACGACAATGCCCAAGAATACCTTTGTTTGGCACTATTTTTGTCCACGGGTACCTCTGAATACAGCTATCATGTCCAGTGTTATCTGTTCAATAGTATTGTGTCCCAAATCTCCTGTCAGCGCCATTGTGATTACATATCTTGTCTAGCTCTATTATGCGCCGATCCATTTGACGAATATTTTAACATGTCTGTCTGACACATTAATCCTGTCTGGCACACACTAGTCCCGTCTGACACATACGTTAGTTCTGTCTGATATATTCACTTGTCCTTTTGTCTGACACCAGTTCTTCTGACACATACACTGGTCCTTCTGTTTGACACATACACTAGTTCTACTGACACACTGGTCCTTCTGTCTGACACATACACTGCTTCTGACGCATATACTGGTCCTTCTGTCTGACACATACTGGTCCTTCTGTCTGACATACACTTGTCAGTCTGACAAATACACCAGTTCTTTTGTCTGACAGTGTCTCTAAGTATATCTACAAGTTCCGCTAAAGCTTCATATCAACAAGTGACTTAGATGCAGTGGTACCCAGACATCATCCAATTTCCTGTCCATCAGTCACCGTTGTATCCGCACGGCTCAGGTCCAATAATTCACAGATCCAACAATTCACAAGTCCCTATTACCTCTCTATACGCACAAATCCTTCACAGGTCCTTCAGTGTCCTATCCATCAAAGGCCATTTTTTTTATATTTTTATTTAAAACATAGAACAAATACAATAGTGTATAAGAGTATAAAATTAAAAACCATACTAGATATTGCAAAACCTCTAGTACACAATCCCAGTACAGAAAATAACCACCCTAGATAATGGCCATATTACAACCATATACATAACCCACAACACATCCTACAAAACCCTCCTTTTACATTAATCATTATTGCCAGTGCAGAAACACAGCTGACACTTCTCCCCCCCCCCCCCTTAACATATGTACAGTCCCCGTTCTAAATAACATACATTAATTATCCTAATTAATGGTCATACCCTGACCTCATCAAAACCTTAATGAGTATTCACCAAGAGTTCTTAGTGCATGAACAACAAGACACAAAAACATAAATTTACAACTAAAACAGATACGAAACATTACATTCCTATACACATACACCGTAAAAAGTAGAAGTAATATACACCACCAATATAATATCAGTTATTAATGTTGACAATCATGAAATACAAACTTTCAAAACAACATTGCATAACGTGAAGTTCACGCACAAAATGCAAGATAATACACCACATGCTACATAGCTGTACAATACTAGCCTATGTACATATTTTAAAGAATCCAAGACTACGACATGAATAAGTATTATCCAAATGGTCTATCATAATTTTAGTAAGTTAACAACACTAAACTCCTTATAACATCTATCACGCCACACACAAACTTACCAAAACGAAACACACATTCCACAAGACTATCACTGTGCCTTCTAACACGTGCCTATCTAGTATTACATACAAATATATATATACAAAAATATTAATTTAGAGAACTAATCCTCATCCACACATGTTTACATAATAGGTAATACTTCAAACTGATGCAGGAACACGTTACAAAATGGCAAAAAAAAAAAAATAACTCAGTGCTTCAAGGAACCATAGTGAAAGGAATAAACTCTCAAGAAAGGTTAAAATTCAATTGCAAGAACAGTACAAGCGGAATATAATACGCTACCAAAGAATATACATGTTACATAATTTATAGGTTATATATTAATAAATGTGATATATTTAAACTGCTATTTACACTTTCCCCATCAAGGGAACTAAGCAAAACTAATCTTTCACAACCTCTCATCTAGTCCCACACGAGTACCTCCAATCACACCCAATCACCCATCACTGCACACCCAAGGAGGTGAGCCCGTTGAATACCCCTGAACCCCCCTCCCCTTTTACCAACCTACTCACTCCGGCAGTTAAAGCCCCTTATAACTCCAATAAATTCCCTATTGTTAGTCCTCTATAACCCTCAGAAAAAACCTCCTCCCACCTTTTTCCAAAAATGTCTCTATTGCGACACAAAGTTCGATAAAACGTCGCCGCCAGAGTCCTCAGCACATCCCCACCCTCCTTCTCCCTCATACCCCACAAAACATATATGTAGTCCACGATTACATATGCTAAACCCCTTACCACACCCTCATCCACACCACTCATATCAAGACTCAACGCTCGCAATACCGACACACGTTGACCCCCCCACCCTCACCACTACCTTATTCATCCATACCCTGATGCACTCCAAACCCTCACAAAAATAGACATGATACGCATTCTCTTCCCCACTGCATCTGCCACACCCCCACCCTCGATAACCCTCCTATCTCGGAGCATCGCTCCCGTTGGCAAAATCCCATTCAGGAAACGATACATAACCTCACGCGTCCTAGGTCGTATCCTTCATTTACTAAATCTTCGCCATATTACATCCCATGCATACATGGGGTAGATCCCTTCAACCGGCACCACTACATGTCCCTCTAACAATTTACACAAAGTTCCCACCTTTACTTTTCCCGGTTCCCTGGCTAACACTAAGGCACGTAACACTGTTTCACATTCCTTCATTTCTGCCCCTCCATACCATTTCCTCAGGTGAGCATGTACCTTATCTAGCTGACCCCCCCTCCATCCACCTGCACTCATCACTTCCCTCTTAATAAACACACATTTCACACGCTTTCTCAAGTCCAACAAACCCAACCTTCCCCTACATACCGGCAATGTCACTACCTCCCTTCGCAACCAGTTGCACCCTGAACCCCACAAAAATTTGAACACCATTCTAAGAATACTCGTGATCGCCATTCCTGTTAACGGCATCACAGCCGAAACAAACCAGACTTTACTATATAGTAATACATTGATGACAATTGCACGTTGCCTAAGGGCTAAATGGTGAGGTCGCAGCATTCCCAATCGTCGCTGCACCTGTTCCACCATCCTATTCGAATTGTTAACCCTGGCAGCACTCAGGTCAGCCTCATACATAACACCGCAGATTTTCAGACTCCCGGTCCGCCGCTGCACAACATCGCATCCCCATTCTAATCTCCCTGCCCACTCCATTATCATTGACTTCTCCAGATTTACCTTTATCCCAGTAGCTCTCCCAAAATTGTGTACAACTTCCCCCAAAAGTCCTAACCGTGTCTCCTCACTCACCAAAATAGTTGTATCATCAACATAGCCCACCAAACCAGGCCAAGGCTTCTGCTCACCATCCCTCCCCCCTGTCCTTAGACGATCCTCCACCATCCTATAAAAGGGATCCTGAACACATGCAAACAATAGTTGTGATAATGGACATCCCTGCCGAAGACCCCGCTCCATGTTGACTCCCTCCCCCACACACCCATTGATTTGCACCCGTACCTTCGCGTTTGAGTACAACGTACCCACCCACCCCACTATTTCTTCGCCAAACCCCTGTCGTAGGAGAATATCCCTCAAAGCCTTTCTTTCCACCCTGTCATAAGCCCCTTGCCAATCCAACACCACCAACGCCCCTCTTTCCCTTTCCATGTCCTCCAGGAACCCCTTTATGATCCCGTGGCCCTCGCCCATCGACCCACCAGGTAACCCAAACTGAGACTCAAACACGACCCTCCCCACAACACATTTAAGCCGATTCCCAAGAATTTTTGCGAACAATTTATAATCAGCACAAAGCAACGAAATGGCTCGGTAATCCCGAAGGGTACTCTGCTGTTTACCCTTCAGGACCAACACCACCACCGCCGTTGCCTGCGATTCTCCCATCTTACCACCTTCTTTCATGGCATTCATTAACCCTACTAGGAAACCCCTAAGCAGACCCCAGTGCTGTACATAAAATTCGCTTGGTAAACCATCGATCCCGGGTGCCTTTCCCTTCCTCATGTCCACAAGGGCTCTCCATATTTCCTCCTCCTCAATGACCCCACCCACTGCCTCCCGATCACTCCTCCCCAGTTTGCACGGCACATACTCACATACATACCTGCCCAAGAACCTCTCCATCCACCCTACTACTTTTCCTGTATTCCTCAAACCATCTATCTGCATATGCACTCATCCCCGTGGTTTCCCTTAATACCTGACCCTCTCTAAAACCCCCCACCGAAGAAATGACTTGCAATCCCGGTATTGTAGTCGTTCGCTGTCATACCTTCTGTCCTCACAGCACACAAGCCGATGGCTTGTCACCCCAGAGTACTTCATCCAACCCCGCCTGTACCTGTACCGCCGCAAACCGTTCTTCTTGCAAATCCCTTATCCTTTCCTTCAACATGTGTATATCCTCCACTGGGTACACCCCGGCCACCGCCCCCCCCTCGTAACAATCCCGTAATCTAGATTCTAAATAATTTGACAAACCATACCGCAATTGATTATTGGGTTTGCCCTCCCTCATGTAAAATTGATGTATTCTTACCTTAGCCACACTATCCCACCATCCTACCACATCCTCAGTCCTGTCTGCACAGAGCTGTTCCCAAAATACTGCAAAACCTTCCACTCCCTCCCTATCCCCCAAAACCATCATGCTCAGTTTCCAGTAACTTCCCTGCCTAAGAGCCAAAGCATCCCACCCCACCTCCACTAATACCGCCCTATGATTGGAAGACACCATCTCAATAGTTTTAAAAGACTCTACCGAAACCCTCTGTGATAAATATAACCTGTCCAAACGAGCCGCATATCCCAGTCTTATAAACGTATGTTCCACCTCCCACAAACCTCCCCTGAAAGCATCACATAACTGAAGATCTCTAAGCAGGCCCCCCAAGACTGAGGAAAAATATCCCGCTCCTCTGGGTTCCACGTCTGCCCTCTTAACTACACAATTCCAATCCCCCCCCACAATCGCCACAGCTGGTAACGTGCGTAGGTAGTACACAAGCTCCTCCCGCACAAAATCCATCTTCACTTTCACGTCACTTTCAGCTGGGGCATACACTCACACAAACGCCACTCTCTCTCCCATCCACCATCCTTCCACACGTAATACTCTCCCCCCTCTTTCCTGTGCAATACAAACGGGCTCGCCTCCTTGATCAACACACCCACTCCTCCTTTTAAACGCTCAGACGGCAACACATAAGCCTGATACCCAGGCACCACTAATTCACGACCAAGCTTAAAATTGTGCTCCTGCACAAAAGCTATGTCAACCTTGTACCTATTCAAAAACATCCTGAAGCACTCACGTTTAACACCATTACACAGACCATTAATATTTATTGTTACACACCTGAGGCCGGTTTAAGGTTTCCCTCCCCGCCTCGTGTCAAGACTCTTCCCTTTCAGACCATTCCCCTGGGCTTTGCCTTTGCCACATACTCCACCTTCCTTCCCAACCATCCCCCCCCCTTCTGTTGTGGCCCTCTCGTAGAATCACTCTGGGTACCATAACCCCATGTCTTTTTCCCTGGCCTTTGCGCTGGCGTCAGAACATCGTCCGAATCTGACGCTGCTGCCCTTTTCCTTGTAGCTCCCTCAGTTTCCATATCTGAGTCCTGGGAGCCAGCACAATGAACTTCTACCTCTACCACCCTTAGACAAAAAGAATGCAGATGTAATATATACAGACTTTGCAAAAGCCTTAGACAAGTGTGACCATGGTGTAATAGCGCACAAAATGCGTGCTAAAGGAATAACAGGAAAAGTCGGTCGATGGATCTATAATTTCCTCACTAACAGAACACAAAGAGTAGTAGTCAACAGAGTAAAGTCCGAGGCAGCCACGGTGAAAAGCTCTGTTCCACAAGGCACAGTACTCGCTCCCATCTTGTTCCTCATCCTCATATCTGACATAGACAAGGATGTCAGCCACAGCACCGTGTCTTCCTTTGCAGATGACACCCGAATCTGCATGACAGTGTCTTCCATTGCAGACACTGCAAGGCTCCAGGCAGACATCAACCAAATCTTTCAGTGGGCTGCAGAAAACAATATGAAGTTCAACGATGAGAAATTTCAATTACTCAGATATGGTAAACACGAGGAAATTAAATCTTCATCAGAGTACAAAACAAATTCTGGCCACAAAATAGAGCGTAACACCAACATCAAAGACCTGGGAGTGATCATGTCGGAGGATCTCACCTTCAAGGACCATAACATTGTATCAACCACATCTGCTAGAAAAATGACAGGATGGATAATGAGGACCTTCAAAACTAGGGATGCCAAGCCCATGATGACACTCTTCAGGTCACTTGTTCTATCTAGGCTGGAATATTGCTGCACACTAACAGCACCTTTCAAGGCAGGTGAAATTACTGACCTAGAAAATGTACAGAGAACCTTCACGGTGCGCATAACGGAGATAAAACACCTCAATTACTGGGAGTGCTTGAGGTTCCTGAACCTGTATTCCCTGGAACGCAGGCAGGAGAGATACATGATTATATACACCTGGAAAATCCTAGAGGGACTAGTACCGAACTTGCACACGAAAATCACTCACTACGAAAGCAAAAGACTTGGCAGACGATGCAACATCCCCCCAATGAAAAGCAGGGGTGTCACTAGCACGTTAAGAGATCATACAATAAGTGTCAGGGGCCCGAGACTGTTCAACTGCCTCCCAGCATACATAAGGGGGATTACCAACAGACCTCTGGCAGTCTTCAAGCTGGCACTGGACAAGCACCTAAAGTCGGTTCCTGACCAGCCGGGCTGTGGCTCGTACGTTGGTTTGCGTGCAGCCAGCAGTAACAGCCTGGTTGATCAGGCTCTGATCCACCAGGAGGCCTGGTCACAGACCGGGCCGCGGGGGCGTTGACCCCCGGAACTCTCTCCAGGTAAACTCCAGGTAATCCACCTCCATGTCCTTCCATGGCACTCGCACTGTCCATCACAGGTGCCACCTGATCCTTCCCCCCTTCCTCCCCCGCACATACCTTCTGCCCTGATCTCAGGTTCCTGCTCGCTGTGACTCTCCACCTCCGTAGACTGTAACATAGCCTGTATCACCGTCTCCAACTCCTCAATAGCTTGCACTGCTGTGCCCACCTGCACCTCCTCACTTGACACCGTACTGTTGATGGGCCAGGTGATTCATGGATCACCACTTTTTCCGATTCCACAGGAGCCACCACCTCTTCACTCCACAAGCGACCACGCCCTCCTCCTTGCCCCTGTTCTTCCTTAGGCATCGGTTTCTCATGCGCAGGTGCTCCGCCCCTTGCCGGCCCAGGAGCCATATTCTGCTTGCCACAGTCTGCCACCATATGGTCATATTCGCCACACAGTCGGCATGTACGCCTCTGCCCCGCATACGCTACCATTACCTGGGTTCTAAACTCCTCGAGATATACATACGAGGGTATAGGATGCCTTAGCGTCATCTTGAGATTGAAAGAACCCTCAGGATATCCTGTGTAAGCTCCTTTTACCCATTTACCAGGTTGGGCTAGATGTACAGTTCCATAACGTTCGAAAGCATTTCGAATATCTACTTCATCAGCCTCAAAAGGCACGTTGCGGAGCTTAACCCACGAATAATGTCGTGATACATCTGTCAACTTGACCCTCACTGCCGGTGTTACGTTAATGCTGACATCTTGATAACGATCCACCAACGCCTCGTATACTTGTGCAGTTAGCACCTTCACGAATATTCCATACACACCGTTCAGTGCCACTCCATACAAATCCTCGTCTCTGATGCCGTATGTCTCTTATAAATTTGGGCAATAACACATCAACTGACGTAGGCGTTAAAGCCCCACTAATGAGCTCAATGCCCACAGTATTCACTCTCCTGCGCACACCTGGCGCCATGTTGTTGACTGAGTAGCTCGTCTGGGAAAACAGTAGAGGGGTGCAAAGCACGACCGCACTCTACCTCATCCAGGCAGCGAAATAAATCAAAGGCCATTACATCCAGTTTTTTTGTTACCACTCCTCAGACGCCTCTTGTACCTACAGATCCTCCAGTTTTCTGTCCCTCAAATACCGTTGTATCCGTAGGTCCTTCGGCTTCCTGGCTGGGTTGATGGTTGCTGGGTTATGCGTGAGTCTGGCTACGGTGGCGCTGTTGGTGTACTGGCGACAGGGCTGGCTGTGTCGCCGCCCCGTGGGCGCCTACAGCAGAATCGAGCGAGGCCCCACCACCATCACAATCGCTGACGAACTAGAATATGAGAACACGGACACTCACTCCAGCCAAAGTTAATACATACTCTTGGGTACATTAAACTTCCGTGGACTGACAAAGGTTAAACTGATAAATAACATTTGCATGATTTCATTTCGTAGTTATTGCTGTTACGCGCCCCTCCTTCACACCCCATTATATACAAAATAAAAGGCCTGGTCAAAATAAGTTCTGTAGTAATATATCGCGAACCACTTTATTACTAGCTAGATAAAGCAGGTTCGACTATATATTATTATCGGGTACGGTATAAATCATCAAAGGTACTCTCAAGCAAGGTTGTATTCATTCAATAAAATGTTATTCATTAGGCATTATTATATTATATTATATAGTATTATAGTAGGTTGATTACTGTGTTCTGTTATGCAAGTGGTAAACCACTACTTTAGAATCCGGTTGATGGTTCCGGAATTGGCGCCTGGCGCTACCTCCTGACCGACCTGACGTCATACCACTGAGCATTTGAACAGTCAGATCATAGCACTGACTCTGATCGGGTCTTCAACCCAGAGATCTTAACTTGGTCAATAATTCTAGATCATGTCTATTGCTTTAACTTTGCTGTTAATTCCAAGAGTCTGATAAGGATAACTGACTGACTTCCTTAAAGTTCCCATAATAGTTCTTATTTGGACTCTTCATTGTAATTATTGTATTATACTTGATTCATGGGTATTTGAACATGGAGTAATTGTTATATTATCCTTCATTCACGAGGATTTGAACATAGAATTACGTTCCTCATTGTACAGTCTCATTTCATTAATAGTGAATTGTCATTTTAATTCACTAACTGGATACCAATAAAGGTTCATAATTGGTAGTAAATAAAACTAACCAAAAGCAAAACTAAGTATTTATTTCCCCTATTGTTGCGGCATAGAGCAAGTCGTAACAATTGCATAAGCTTTACATTTCAGTCTTCATCAGTACGTTGGTTAGTTAATAGGATTTAAATTCTGTTGACTACTCCAAGGATCATTAAGGCTTCGTGTAACCTATTCATCATCAGCGAAGATATTAATCCCTAAACTAGGGATTAAAGTAAACTCCTAGCGTATATATACACTGAGACACACCTCTTGGTATACATATCACGCTGATAGCGTAAGTAATTAACATGTCAGATTTCTGTAAATAACTAAACAGTGCAGATAATGTTAAATCTCTACTCTCACGATTAATATGTAATGTACAGATGATATTTTCATGGAATGATTATCACAATTTTTTTTGTCGCTATTCCTCTTGGATACTGGGGCTTCCCTCACCCTGACTGGAAAACTTCCGGCACAGTTGGAGGTATGCAAGATCGTGGTTGTGTGATAACACGGCGTATGCCATATAAAGTCAATAAATTTTGTAAATAGTTCATTACCAATGTAACTTCTTAAACACAAATGTCAGGGCCCAGTCCCTGAATCCATTATGTGTCTGTAATCTTTTGACTACAACCCACAGAACGGGTATAGGGTTACTACTGCCCACAAGATGGGTATGGGGTACATAATAAAAATGTCAAACAAACAATACTTTGACTCAGAATACCAATAAACGGGTAATGGAGAATTATCTAATATGCTCCCTCAAGGGGTGAGAGGTTCCAGGATGCCAGTAAGAGGCTCTTGATCCGAGGAATTAAACCTGTCCTTCCTTCCCTTGGATCAAATTTCAGTGCTTTTACCGCTTCCCCAGGAGTCATACGATCCCTATGGGTTTAGCGCTTCCCTTTAGGTAACATTTTCACCCCCGAATAAGAATACTTTAATCCCTAAAATTAGTATTAATGTAAATCCTCAGCAAATATACACTGTAATACACCCCTCGGTGTACACTATATATCCTGTGTAGTTTTCTACTCTAATACAAAAGGGGGGACTACACAGGTATGAGGAACTTCCTGCAGGAGATTCAGTGGGAAAGAGGAAGTCATTAAACGATGGACTACGTAACAACACAATGTAAGGAGGCAAAGGAAAGGTTTGTTCCCAAGGGCAACAGAAATAATGGGAAGACCAGAACGAGCCCTTGGTTTACCCGAAGGTGTAGGGAAGCAAAAACTAAGTGCACCAGAGAATGGAAAAGGTACAGAAGACAAAGGACCCAGGAAAATAAAGATATTAGTCGAAGAGCCAGAAACGAGTATGCACAGATGAGGGAGGCCCAGCGACAGTACGAAAACAGCATAGCATCGAAAGTCAAGTCTGACCCGAAGCTGTTGTATAGCCACATCAGGAGGGAGATGATGGTCAAAGACCAGGTAATCAGGCTGAGGAAAGAAAATGGGGAGCTCACAAGAAATGACCAAGAAGTATGTGAGGAGCTCAACATGAGATTCAAAGAAATATTTACAGTGGAGACAGAAAGGGCTCTGGGAAGATAGAACAGAGGGGTACACCAACAGGAATATACCAACAAGTGTTGGATGAAATACACACAACCGAGGAGGAGGTGAAGAAGCTGCTAAGTGACCTTGATACCTCAAAAACGGTGGGACCGGACATCTCTCCGTGGGTCCTTAGAGAGGGAGCAGAGATGCTGTGTGCCACTAACCACAATTTTCCACACTTTCCTTGCAACTGGGCAACTACCTGAGGTATGGAAGACGGCAAATGTAGTCCCCATTTTTAAGAAAGAAATGAGGCACTAAACTATAGACCAGTGTCACTGACGTGTCTAGTATGCAAAGTCATGGAGAAGATTATCATGAGGAGAGTGGTGGAACACCTAGAATGGAAGAAGCTTATAAGCGACAACCAGCACGGACTCGTGGAAGGGAAATCCTGTGTCACAAACCTACTAGAGTTTCATGACAAGGTAACGGAAGTAAGACAGGAGAGAGAGGGGTGGGTAGACAGCATTTTCTTGGACTGCAAGAAGGCCTTCGACACAGTTCCTCACAAGAGATTAGTGCAAAAGCTAGAGGATCAGGCACATATAACAGGAAGGGCACTGCAATGGATCAGAGAATATCTGACAGGGAGGCAACAACGAGTCATGGTACGTGATGAAGTCACACAGTGGGCACCTGTGATGAGCGGGGTTCCACAGGGGTCGGTCCTGGGACCAGTGCTATTTTGGGTATCTGTGAATGACATAATGGAAGGGATAGACTCAGAAATGTCCCTGTTGGCAGATGATGTGAAGTTAATGAGAATTAAATCAGATGAGCATCAGGCAGGACTACAGAGAGACCTGGACAGGCTGGACGCGTAGTCCAACAACTGGCTCTTCGAATTTAACCCCGCCAAATGCAAAGCTATGAAGATCGAGGAAGGGCAAAGAAGACAGCAGGCAGAGTATAGGCTAGGTGGTCAAAGACTGCAAATCTCACTTAAGGAAAAAGATCTTGGGGTGAGTATAATACCGAGCACATCTCCTGAAGCGTACATCAACCAGATAATTGCTGCAGTATATGGGCGCCTGGCAAACCTGAGAATAGCGTTCCGATACCTCAGTAAGGAATCTTTCAAGATTCCATACACCGTGTACGTCAGGCTCATACTGGAGAATGCAGCACCAGTTTGGAACCCACACCTGGTCAAGTACGTCAATAACTTAGAGAAAGTGCAAAGATTTGCAACCCCTGGCTGCCTTCAAGAGAGAGCTGGACAGATACCTAAAGTCAGTGCCGGATCAGCCGGGCTGTGGCTCGTACGTCGGACTGCGTGCGGCCAGCAGTAACAGCCTAGTTGATCAGGCCCTGATCCATCGGGAGGCCTGGTCATGGACCGGGCCGCGGGGGCGTTGATCCCCGGAATAACCTCCAGGTAACCTCCAGGTAACAAGGCTAGTTCCAGAGCTAAGGGGAATGTCCTACGAAGAAAGGTTAAGGGAAATCGGCCTGACGACACTGAAGGAGAGGAGGGTTAGGGGAGACATGATAACGACATATAAAATACTACGAGGATTGACAAGGTGGACAGGGACTGGATGTTCCAGAGATGGGACACAGAAACAAGGGGTCACAATTGAAAGTTGAAGACTCAGATGAGTCAGATGTTAGGAAGTATTTCTTTAGTCATAAAGTTGTCAGGAAGTGGAATAGTCTGGTAAGTGATGTAGTGGAGGCAGGAACCATACATAGTTTTAAGACGAGGTATGATAAAGCTCATGGAACAGAGAGAGAGGACCTAGTAGCGGTCAGTGAAGAGGCGGGGCCAGGAGCTATGTCTCGACCTCTGCAACCACAAACAGGTAAGTACATATCAACTGCGTGAAATCCTAGACATAACATGGGCTTTGTTAGGTGTTACTATGTGCATTATTTATACACTGTTCCCTTACCTACTGTAACTATTCGCAAATAAATATATTTATATCTCTGGTTGTGTCGGTTAAATACACTGACAATGACCTAAATGGAAATAAGTCATTCTGACTTTTTTGGGTTATCTTAGGTTATCTACGCACGTTACTATGAATGACAATTGTACTTGTGTGTACCTGTACCTAAATGAACTTACTAAGACTGGTTGGTTACTGGGGTTTAAAGCCCATCAACTACATTAGTCATTAAGACAAGAATACTTCAATACCTAAAATAAGAAATAAAATCTCAGTATATATATTATTACGAACATAGGTGTAGTCTACTGGCCTGTTCACCTGGCTGTAAAACGGAAACTACTTGGAAACGAGAAAAAGGCAGCAGAGTAATTGTATTTCCTTCAGCAAATAATAATCTGGTATGTACAATATATATACAGTCTTGTACAATATATGCAGCTATGAACAAAAACGCAAATGCAAGCACAAGACATGGTTGACAACCATAGTGACCAGATGTGAAGGAAAGTCTACCAGGGATGATTCACTAGTGTAGCACATCGCTTCACAAGTTTGGCAGGCTTCCCTGTGACTGGCTGGTTGAACCAAGGTACTGGTATAACAATGGGGCCCCTACTTGTTCAACTCGTAGCACCTGGTTCTCTGGTTGGAAGGCATGCCTATATGGGTGTGTGGTATACGCTGAATAACGTATACGCCACATATACGCAGCTAGAAATACACCTCTTGGTGTATATATTCTGCTATCAGGGCCAGGCCCAGACTTGTGGAACTCCGTGTTCATCAAGAACTGCAAGAAGCCCCTTTCACGTGCCAAAAGTATTCTATGGCGGAGGATCATGGACATAGGGGTTATCCCACAGTCACTAAAAAAACAGACATAGCCCCACTCCACAAAGGTGAAAGTAAAGCAGCTGCAAAGAATTACAGACCGACAGCACTAACGTCCCACATAAAAATCTTTGAAAGGGTTCTAAGAAGCAAGATCGCCACCCTCTTTAGATACCCATCAGTTGCACAACACAGGGCAGCATGGGTTTAGAGCAGGTCGCTCCTGTCTGTCCCAACTACTGGACCGAAACCCCCTCCGGGTGTACTCCAGTGATACAAGGTCAAAGATTGTAAACTATAGCATTCTAGTAAACTAACCCAATTGTTTAGAAGTTATATATTAATTTTAAAGCTCCCCGAAGTACTCTGCGTGTATTTCATATATTAAGTGAATCACAGATCTCTGCCCAGGTTTAATAAATTTGCTGACAAACCATACTTCGGGCGGGATTTGAACCCGCGGTCAGAGAGTCTCAAAACTCCAGACCGTAACGTTAGCCACTGGACCAGCTAGCCACAATAAGATTCGTCCAACTAGGTATATTTCTACACCATAGGAAGGTTAGCATAGGCACCACTGTGACCTAGTAATATACCGAGTTGGGCGAATCGTATTGTGGCTAGCTGGTCCAGTGGCTAACGTGACGGTCTGGAGTTTTGAGACTCTCTGACCGCGGGTTCAAATCCCGCCCGTGGTATGGTTTGTTTGCAATTGTGTCATTATGATT